ATAGGCTAACAAGGCTATGACAACTGCACAGAAGGATTAATTAACTTACTTGTTTTAGAAAGAGTGAATTTCTAAAAACTGGGGCAAAACTTAAGGTATGAAGCATCTCTCCCAGAGGGAAAAGTCGTATTTATACAGAAGCAAACACAGGATTTTCTGTTGGACTTACAGTACCTGTTACTTCCCAAGGAAGAATTTAGTAAGTTATATTAGTTAATTACAAAATGTTAATATTTGAAAACGTTAGTATTTTAGAGGGTTTACCTGTATTTCCAGATTTTGCGAATAACTTGCAGGGCATTCAGGTTGGACTTTTTTTTTTTAATTTTATTTTAAATTTGATTAAATACATGCTTTGTTCATCCTGGGCATTCAGTTCATTGAATCTTATTTATGGCACAGCAAGAGCAACTCATACTGCCATGTCCTCTCCAGATGCCTTCTCTCTCCAGTAAGCCGACCGTCGCACTGCAGAAATCTTTTTCTCCTAGATTTTCCTTTCTCCATCCCCATCAGAGCTCTCTACACCCTTGGATCACGAGACCTCCCAATCTGTACTTCATTAATGGACAGCAACAAACAATGTATGTGTTGATGGTTCTTCATGCCACGCTAAATTTTTAGTATGCATCCATTTTTAATTCCCACACAGACAAGAATAATCTCACATCTATATATAAACCCCAACATTAATTCAAGTTAAAAATACTGAATATTTCCCCAGAAGACATTCTCTGAATTAGTCTGGACTCCTAATGTTGATAGCAAGCATGCGACAAAGGGCTGAACACATTTTACAGCCCACCTGATTAGTCAAATCTAGCAGCTGTCAAATGGCTCACTGAACAACACAGGGAAAAACCTGAATCGTATGCTACTTAACAGTCTTACCACCACAGCATTTATTCCACTCCTTTTTTTTTTTTCCCTTTGGACATGTGAATCCAGACAGGCTGTGCAATGACAAGCTGTAGTTTGTGAAGAAACATATCCATGAGATCCACTGAATTTCAGATAACCAGAAAAAGCCATTCTGGTCTAGCACACAGACTAAGATTTTAATAGCTTAATTTTTTTTTTTTAAACATACATGGAATGCCTAACAGGCAATGACTTAAGAAAGCTGTGTAAATACTGTTTTTCAGTAAAGTTCTTCTACAAGGGAACTCATTTTCCTATACATGTATAAGAATACACATTTTCTGCCTTTTCTAAATGGCTGATAGGAGCATTTACATAGAAAATCTTTTACTTGGGAACTCATTTTTATCTTTCATTGTGAAGGAAAACACAGCACAAGTCAGTCAAACTACTAAAAAATCTTTCATTTTCATTTTATCTTTTAATTTGTTTTTAAACCTCTGTGTGAATTACATTTTGAAACAAGGTCATTGCAAGCCAAGGAAAACAAAGTACTCACAGGTAGGAAAAGCCTCAGCTGGAAGCACTGTTTTACATTTTTAAAATTTGCTTTTATTTGAAAAGCAATACAGAAATTGAAATTTGCTGGTTTTCTTCCCAGTGTTTCGATTTTGATAGGCCACCTTTTCGTGGTGAATTATCTGCAAATTCCTTTTTTTTTTTTTTGATAGGTCAGACAAATAATTTTATCTAATGAGGCAACTGCATACCATTCTGCAAATGTTGAGTACACTTTAAAAGCAACTGGAAAATCCATCCAGTGGAGGGTCACGATGAGGATTTTCACTGTTATATATGGCACTGTCATGAATAGCTTAATTAATTTTGACTTTCTCCATTTATATCCCAAACATTTATTGCATGGAACTGTTCTAAAATACATTGCTATCTAACTCTCAGGTATTACACTAGCACTGAATTATAATTAGTAACACCATTGAAGAAGCTGAACTTGCTGCTTGTGTGCCGGTACACTTCTGCCGCAAGCCAATACTAAAAAATATTTTTCTTTAACAGGACAAAAGGCTTCAGGTCCCTCACAATTTCTTGTGTATTAATATCAAATCACAGCTTGGCTGGGCTTTGTAATCAACCTTGAAGCAGATCCCTTAGCACTTTCTGTTGTCTTGCAGAAGGGACGCTTACAGTCACCAGGTTCACTGAAGCAGAAGTAATTCTAAGAGGGCTTCTGTGGGACTGATTTCTTTCCCATGAGGCAACCCAGAAAAGAACCCACGGTCCAGATCAGTGGATGAAAAGAAAAAGGATCTGAACAGACAAGAAATTGCACCAGAACCATGCTGGGAAAAGAAGAAGCCAAGGAAACACAAAAATTATGTGTCTTAAAGTAAATAATGCCAATTCAATCAAGCACAGAACACGAGTTATCATAAAGATTTTAGGGGTCAGAAGCTAGTATGCTTTAAGAATTAAAGTAAAGGTGGAAAATGCTCTTGAGATACAAAAACATGTGAAATCAAGCTTGCTAATCGAGCCAGCAGTCAGAAAGCTAATTGTTTTACTTGCAAATGAAATACACTTAACTTGTTTTCTGTCACTCTATTAAGTTGCTTTTTATTTTAACTACCACTTAAACACAACTCACTACACACTCTGGTAATACTAAGAATGTATTTAGCTGTTGTTTTCCAGGAAAGCATCCCAAGTTCTTAGTATCATTCCATACTGATAATTATTCCTTCGTTATGTGATACATAGCAGTAAGCACTTCATGTACTGCAACAGTAGCCAATCATAGAGACGTCGCATTTATAGTGAAATCTGCTGAGAGCAGAGCCACCTGTGGGACTGATGTTGTTATAAAGAATGAAGAGCTTCCAAAGCTATAAATATACCAAAATAAGGCTAATCGAGATACTTAAAAACTGAAGCATTTACAAAACAAACAAAGAAAAATGGTTCCTTTTGTGCAAGCTTTGTATTAGAACGTTCAGGCCCCAAATCATTTTGAATCATCTGTAACAGTGCCTTTTTATGTTAGGGGTGTAAGAACTGGCATTTTTATACTGCGGATTTTTTTCTTTGGCCAACTAACATGCATTCTGAACCAGTATAGACAGTCACAAATGTGACTACTTTCTGCAAAATTAGTATTTCTAAGAAATACTGTTTTTATTCAATTGATATCTGAATTAAAAGAACAACCAAAACAACCAAAACAAACCTAGCTCACAGGATTAAACAGGTAGATCACCCTTCAGAAATATTATAGGCATATTACTGCCTGCTTTCTAAACTGTCTCAAAGTGTGGGTGCACTAGATTTCACCAAACACTGGTAACTTAAGGACTTTTCTGAAGAAATCAAAACACATTTTCTCCCTCTTCCTTTGTAGAAATTAATCATTTCTATTAAATCCACTGTCACAAAAAATGAGCACGGGGGCTCATCTGCAACGAAGGACAGCTGCAAACACAGCTTTATTCCTACAGCTCAGTTGTAGGCCAAGATACTGTATGTTCTAGAAGGTTTAACAGAAGAGAATAAAGAGATCACTGCTTCTTTGTAGCTGTTCTGTTGTGCTGGTTATGCACTAGCATGTAAGTCCCTCCAACAGAGCTAGAACTCCCACCTGCTTTAGTGGCTAAGTTTATTTACACTGCTTGGCATAGCCTATGGTGGCATGGATGGTGTTCTGTAGTGAGGGAGAAGGTGTGGATGAACAGTGGAGCATCTTGAGTAAGAGACATTCATAAATTGTCATACGCTACCTGCTCTGACCACTAAAACCTTGCAGAAGCCCAATAGCATGGCTGAGTTACTCTGGTTTCTTTTCATCAGCGGAGCTTCACTGAGGATCTCAGTCTCATGACTCTCCCCTCATGAGCACTTAAAGTATAAAGAGATGCAAGCACTTTTCTGCTCACCTCTGGTTATCCAGCTAACAACTGTTTTTAGCCAGGACACTCAGTCAAGTCCCTGAGCATTTTACAAGCAGACTCTTTAGCAGAGACCTGGAGAACATTTCCACGAAAGTGAACTCTGAGAGCCACACCATCATTTTTGTCAGCTCAGGTGCACTTCTGCACTGGAGTTTTCATGACCTCAAGAATGACATTCAGGTTCCATGTTTATTTTTTTTTTTTCCAGTTCTCCTGCCAACAGAGCTATCCTGGCAAAACAAAACTAAACAAAACAAAACCACAGCTGTGTGTGGACCCAGCCTGAAGCAAGCATTTGGATGGAAAATTTCCGCTGATGTTTGACAGCCATAAGCATCTGTAAACACAGCCTTAACACTGGGAAATGTCAGGCACCTCCTCAGCAGTGCTACCACCTCTGTATTTACTGTAAATAAAACGAACATGCATGTCAATGAGCTCTTGTCACATCCACACAAAATATCTAACACTTGACAATTTTTTCTCAGGGAACCACAGGTTCAGCGTTTCTCGGACACGCAGGGAGGAGACCTGCATGGCAACTCACACCTTCGTTACCCTGCCAGATCAGCTCTTTGCTCTGGTTCCCAGCTCACGATGAGAAAACAGAACCAAAAACAAATACATAAATCCCAAACCCTTCCTAAGCTTGCTTCCCATACAGGAAAGTCGCTCGTGAGCAATAGCTGAAAGAAAACCACCCCGCTCACTTCAGCGTTTGTAGCGGAACAACTTTCTCACTCCTTAACTCCCCGTTTCTTTCGCCCGCGACACGGCACGGGACCGCTTCCCGCGCTTCCCACAGCGAGCTGCTGCCCGGCGAGCGGCCGCCCGGCACGCCGTCCTGAGGCGCGCGGCTCCCCAGCCGGAGGGGGCGGCCGGGGCCGGCTGCGGCGCTGACAGAGCGTGATCCCCCCGAGCAAGTGCGCGGCGCTGGCTCTCCCTCTCCGCCAGCCTCCGGTTACATCTCTGGCAGGAGACCGCGATTCTCGGCGTTGCTTTCCAGGGTTATTTTTGGCCGCGGCCGCCGCACGCTGACGGCACGGCTCTGGCAAGTCCCGCGCGTCCCTGCGCGCTGCGCGGCGCCGGCGGACCTCCGCCGGGCGGGGAAGGGGCGGCGCGACCCCGCGCCCTCCCCGGCTCCCCCGCTGCGCCCTTCTCCCGCCGCCCCCGGGCCTCCGAGGGGCGAGCCGGCCCGCCTCCGTCCCACGAGGGCCGACCGTCGGGGGAGCCCGATCCCGCGTCGCCGGGGCGGACGGAACCGCCTCTCTTCGCCCCGCCGCCGGCCGGGAGCCCGTGTGAGGCCGCCGCTCCGCAGCGGAGTCGCGGCCGGCCGGGCGGCACCGAGCGTCGCTATGGAGAGGAACCCCATCCCGGTGCTGACGGTGCAGACGACGCCCTACGAGGACCAGCGGCCGACGGGCGGCGGGGGGCTGCGGCGGCCCACGGGGCTCTTCGAGAGCCAGCGCAACTACCTGCCCAACTTCGTGCAGAGCCTGCTCTCCTCCGTCGACCTCCGCGACCGCCAGGGCTGCACCATGGTGGTGGGCAGCGACGGCCGCTACTTCAGCAAGACGGCCATCGAGATCGTCGTCCAAATGGCCGCGGCCAACGGGGTAAGCCCGGGGCTCCGGGCTCCGCCGGTGCTCTGTGCCGTCGGTCAGGCTGCTCCGCCAGCTTTGGGCGAGGCTGGCGATGCGTGCGTGTAAGCCGGGTGCTTCTGGCAGCCCCGGGTACTGCGGGCCGACCGTGGTGCTGCACAGCTCGTTTGGGACCGAGTCAGGAGTGGAAGCTGAAAAACCACACCTGACTCTGCAGAGAAGGTTTATCGGAGTCAAACATAAGCGCGTGGAAAGCGAGGGCATTACATGTGTGCTCGGTGCTTACAGTCTTTTAGGGATGCTCAAGGAAAACGAAGAGGTAAAGGAAGAGGAATTCAGCAGTTTGGCTGCATCTTAAGAAAATGAGTGTTCTCTGTTCATTTAGTGAATGAGATAATGGTGACAACCCATCCAGTCAGATGGGTTACAGCATATTTTGCTCAAATTTGAAAATGTCAAAAATCTCAAGAGGGGAATTATGTTTTCTGATAGAAGTGTGCAAACACCTTTGTCTGTTTGTACATGCAGAAAGCTGGGAAGTACAAGCCAGCATGGTCTTGAAGTCTCTTCTCCAAAGCAGAGTTGAAGCTGCTGTCTATCCTGACTGCTGAATCGACCCTTCAGCGAGCGCACACAGCATGGAGCAGTGGCAGGCCACTGCTCATAACTGGGAACTGCAAGTTCCACAGGACTGCTTTGCGTCAGCTCCTCTCACAGCTAGCTCTGCAAGGGAAGCTCTGTCACTGTAGGGTGCGCAGGAGAAAGCACAGCAAGGGCTGTTCTGCCCAGCCTGCAGTCGCCCACTGCTCTTGTATGCACCGAGTGAGTTGCAGTTGCAAGGTGACCACAAGGACTGAGATCTGAGGGAGGCTAGAAATGTAGGGCTTAGAAGGTTGAGGAGTCCTCAGCTGGGCTGAGCTGCAGTCAGGACTCTGTCCTGGCAAATGTTGCTGTCAGCTTGCTTCCTTCCAGCATCCCATGTCACATTTCCCATGTTCTTCTGCTCCCCCTGCAGATTAGGTTTTTTTGACCTCAGGAGGTTTCCAGTTTTGCGTATTTCTGGCACTTTGCTCTAACTGGGCTTCCCTTTCCTTAAGTTATTGCAGCTTTCTTGGAAGCACAGTTTCTCCTTACTGTTTTCTGAAGCCAAGAAACAAGAGTGTCTGCTGGCAGTTCCCACAGATTCCTGAGTTCAAGTGCCATACTCTGGGGACACAGTCCTGACAAATTCAAGAGGGTGGTGGTTGGGGGTGACATTGATCCTGCTCCCATGTGCTCTGGCCCGCCGGCTGCTTCTCTGTATCTCTGCAACACACTGTAAGTGCATAAGCCTCACTTTTTTTGCCTCCAAGGAATACTCACTACATGTATTATTCTTTGATTGCTAATATATGACAGCTGAGAAATTATCTAAGCCTCCCCAAAGGCACTGCTTAGTCCTGTGCTGTATGGTTCAGGTGAAGAGCATGAATACTGCTAAGGGCAAATACCTCTCCCTTTGGCAAAGGCAAATATCTCTACAAGGAGCCTGGCCAGCATCAAAAGGAAAAAAAAAAAAAAAGCAAGCTGGCAAATGCCGGGTGAGATGAAACGTGTAGGAGCTTGAAGCTGCCCTGAAAACGTTTAGTCTCAGTGGAGTTCCAGGAGAGAGACGGCCAAGTAGTGCTGACAAATTGAGCTAAAGTCTCCTTCCAGGAAGACACATACTGAGTTCTTTGGTTAATTGTGCCTGCTGAGTATAAAAATAAAGGGGATTTTCTGTTATCAACTGTAAACGTATTGCCCTTTAGAGTCGCTAGGTTCCCCTTGTTCTAATTTGGTGACTCACCCTGCATTCTCCGTGCCTTAGCAGCCTAGCACAGTTGGCACAGGCCCTCGGAGAAGGAATGAGCCGAGGCCCCCTGCCTAGTCAGCTGCTGCTGCTTGCCCTGCCTTCCTGTCATCATTGAGCCCTCCGCTCACCCTATGGGCTGGGACTGCAGGTACACCACGGCTGCAGCTTCTAGGCTTCCACTGCTGGCAGTGGCTATGGGTAGTGCGTGCTATGCAGTGGCCATCAGCACATGATTCATCATGTCTTTCTGTTCGGAGAGATACTGTAGGTTAGCTGGAAGCAGCTAACTAGTGGTCATTCTTTGAAAGACCGCACAAATCGGATTGAGGCAAACACATTTTGGTAAGAGGCTGCATGTCGTGGGAGTGCAAGGTCCTGTCTCATTCCAGCTTGCAACAGGCATTTCTCAGAAGTGAGATGTTAGGAGAATATCTGAAGCTGCATCTCCATTTCATCTGCCACTTGTCAGCAGTTTTTGCTTCTTAATGCCAGGAAGAACTGAGGTAAAAGGATCCATTGTGTGTACAAAGTCTCACTACAAATTAAATGCAAGTATTCCATTAGAGCCATCAGCTGGGTGTGGTGCTTTATTTTTGAGGCAAAGTTCAGAATAAGTTTAAACTAAAAATTCTGGATCTGATCAGAAACGGATGAGTTGCTGATTGTACTTGGCCTATGGAGATTCATAGCAACATTGTGGAGGTCGTGAAGTATTGCTAATAATGCTGTAAAAGTTTGAGATGGCAAAGAATTTTCCAGCTTTTTTAGCAATACCATGTTTTTTTTTGTTTCCCATGAGAATCGTATCTTTCCTCCTTAAACCTGTATGGCTGACTTATTTGCTTCTATGTTAGGCATGACACTAAGTCATCATTAGGATCCTACAGTGAAAGAAGATATATCCCTATCCTGTTATAATCCACTTGCAGGGTATAATCCACTTGCTCTGTGTTATTTCAGGTTCAATTGACTGAGGCATGTGAGAGAAAAATTACTGGGAAGATCAATTTTAAAATGTTAAGTGACTCCATTGTATTTTCTGAAAATACAAAGCTGCATGCAGTAATACTGCATAAAGATGTTTCTGTAAAATACCTGTTAGGGTGACTGTACTCTCAGAGTTTGCTGAGGAACATGGTCTCTTTTGCTGCTGCTGCTACTAAAAGCAGAGCAACAACATAGGATGCGGCGTGAGTGACAAAATAGGACGTGGCGCTGGGCACGGTATTAAAAGAGACAGTTACAAGCCTGTGATTTTGTAGCCATGCAAGTTTTTGAATTCCAGAAATAATCTTTCCATGTTATGAAGCTGTCTAAGATTTTCAGAAGGATAATACTGGAACTTTAATTGTGAGTGAGTACGTGGACACCATCTGGTTGCTGGTTTAGCCTGGAGAAGTCTGTAAATCTGAGAGTTCGTTTCTTAAAATTAATTAGACATCAGTTTAATACTTGATTCAGAGACATAATGAACAGCAACTGGACTGAGAGTGGATGGGATTGCATTCCTGCCATCAAAACGAAGAGAGAAAGATGTTTACATTTCTAAGGAGTGCCGGAATTTAGAGTTTAGAATAGAGGCACTGAAGAGCCTATATGTAAAATGAAGCTCTTTGCAGTAGTCACTGTGAACAAAATAGAGTATCATAAGACATAATTTCACTTTCTTATTTAATTTAGAATACGAAACATTATAGCGTTTTTACAGGGTAGGAATTAGTTCAAACAATTCTTACACTGTTTCTGCACTAATTCTAATTAGTGTAGGAATAACCACCTGAACAAATAACCTGTCACAAATCCTGAAAGCAACGCAAAATAGTCCTATTCTTGTAAGTGCTGCCGTCCAGGAAAGTGGGAGAACTGCTTTGTGTTGAGCAGGACAAAAGTGAAGTGCAGTAAAAAGACAGTGCCAGATAATTTGTGCATTGTGAATCATCTGTGTTTTGGCTACTTCAGAACAGTGATTTCTGTGCGCTTACAAAAAAACCTAAACCTCACGTAGAAGTATAGAAGAATTCATGATATACCCTGCATGCATAAATATAAATGTATTGATACTTTAATACCTCACAGTACATCAGCAAAACATAATTCCTGTCATCTTCCTTTTGCTTACCCATCCACAATAACGTTTTAAGAGCCACCACACTTTTCTGACAGCTGTATTTGGAAAATGGAGTCTTCACTTGCCTTAGTATTCTACATGCATAATAATTTAGAAAAGAGGGAGAAGGTGCTCAAAACTAGTGTTTTCGTTACTTACTTTCATTTTATTTCCCATAAATTGGGGGGTACATGGTATAGACTGGGGGAAAGTTTGCTAAAGCCCTTTTCCCAGTAGTCTGTGTTTCTCCTAGTGCTTTGGTACAACGAGGAGTGATGATAAATGATGGCACTTGTACAACAGTCTTGGAAGAAGTCTCATGTTGTCCAAAAGCTGCACATAGGCTGAAAAGAAGCCTTAAAAGGACACGCTCAAATTCAATACAATCCGTATTTCTATTTCAAATTACTACCTATATAAATAAGCACTGATATAAAGAAAACAGTAAGTAATACAGCTCATGGAAATCCTTTTTTCTTGAACTTGATTCTTAAGGTGCCTCAAGGCATATGCTTGAACTACTAGCCTCTCCTTGAGAAGTTTGGATGGAGTTCTGTCCTGGGTATTTTCTGAGGCAAAGGTATGTCTGTGCCCAGAACACTAGGAACACTTCTGCTTATTTATATAAAACAATCTTCCTTATTCCATAACATAGGAATTGCATTTCTGCAGTCATAAGTAAGGTTATACATAAACCATTTTTGAAGCAGTTTCTATTCAAAACACTTGAGTTAAAAAAATGCAAATTCTGGAGATTTTTAAATCTCCATTTGGAGAGTTTTGGAGCATTTGGAGAGTTTTAAAAGATGCTAAGACTATTACATGAATGCAAAGTGCTCTAGTCAGCAAGAGATACCAGTTCGGTTCTGTACTGGAGAAATATCAGCCCCTTCACTATTTGGAGACTAAGTGGAAGAAACATATCTTTGTTGTTGCTCCTGAGACCTTTATGATAAATTTTGAGATTTACAAATACTCATACTCTAAATTACTGCTTACTTATACCTTCAGAGAGAACCAAGAGCAGGAAGGGAAGTGAGACAAAGTGCCAGAACGCAGTACGAAGTCTGACGGGAGCAAATCTGCAGCAGTGTGCCTGCATAACATTTAATCTGCTCTTCAGGGAAATCGGTATTCACTAGCTTGGTTTCCTCCACAAATAATCAAGGTTCTTCAGTAAGTAAGGCGGTGTTCTCATTGTTTTATCACAGGTTAATGGATCTGTATTATTAGACATGAATAATAAAGCACCTCTGAACTGAGCAGAAATGAGGCTCAGCTGTCTGGTACCGAAGGTGACCAGCTATACGCTCCACCCTCACCAGTTGACCATGTCAGTGGAATGGCAACTTAAAGTGGATTCTGCTGACTTACATATCCCCATCCCCCCTGAATACTTGTTTTTCCTGGGAAGTATTATAATTACAGTGGAAAAACAAGAAATTACCATTTTGAGTTTCTTGGGTTTTGTGTCTTATCATTTCCTTCAGATTTGTCCATACCTGGCAGAAAAAGGCAGTGCAACAAAACGTGTTTACATTAGTTACCATGAGCAAATCAGACAAAACTTGAATGTTTTCTGTGAACTTTACTTATGATTTTGATAGCTTTTCCTATTTTCCAGCAGAAAGATCCTTATGCATCAAAATTATTGTGTATGGTTAGTGCCTCGGTTATTCATGCTGAGCTGAAACTGTAATAGCTGTGTAGGTAACTAAGGCAGAGGCTTTGAAATTGGAATCATGCAGTGGAACTGCATTACACCAAACACACTGAAGCAGTGTTTAATAACACCACCTGAAAGCTTTTTTTACTTTAAGACTGGTGGGAACTTCCCTTGCTCAGCTGTGTCCTGGAAACACTCCGTGTTCGTCTGAAATAGCCAAAGAGTAAATAATGACTGAAGGAGGACTGGTATTTTCTGCGGGCAGGACGTCCAAGGGTATCTGTGTTACAATGACGTGACTCAGAGATTGCACGTTTTAGAAATATATTGTGGTCATATTTGCAATTGCTCTGAAAAGCCCCTCCATGAAAGCCAAATCGCTTTGCTGTTCTCTTTTATGCTGATTGAAGCTCCGACCTTTCTTGCTTCCACACGCTCAACACTAAAACATACTGTTATTAGAGGAGCTTTGGTGATTGATGAGGATACCTGGAAAGGCCTGATAGGAGGATCATACCCCATTCCATTGATGGAGGCTTGCAGTTTGCTGTTGTGTCTATGCTCCTTGCTGCTCTGGGTATACATAATACAGCACTTGTTAATGGCACACCAATGTAGCAAGTATCCAGCTCCTGTTTGTGTATTTCTCTGTAGCAAATAGGTTCCATGGTAGGAGCTTAAAATTTCTGTTAGCCACTGTATACACATATATTGATGTGTATGTTTCTTCATTAACATTAAAAATAACACCTTTTTTCACCTAGATCGGCAGACTGGTTATTGGGCAGAATGGTATCTTATCCACACCTGCTGTTTCATGTATTATTCGAAAGATAAAAGCAGCTGGTGGGATTATTTTAACAGCCAGCCACAGTCCTGGGGGACCTGGAGGAGAGTTTGGAGTCAAGTTTGAGGTTGCAAATGGAGGTAGGTGTTCTTTTTAACTAACACGTTTATGGCACTGCATCTCAGTATGATTAAAATTCAGGGATAGCCAACTGACATTAACTGTGCTCTTGGTTATTCTTTCACAGACTATTCTTTAACAACTTTGCAGAGAATAAGCGTATTTTTTCTTTTTTTTTTCTCAAGGGTAGGACTGTTTTTGTTTACAGGGCATATGTTCAGTAAGTATTAAACATTCATTAAAGCCCTTGCAATGTTGGTAAGAGTTCTGTGCGGTTTACTGTCCGATTTTTACTTTATTTTACTTAGTCTGACAGATTATTATAACAGTTTTCATCTTTCTGTGAGGTTGCCTATGAGGGAGTTTTGTTTGTTTCATGTTTCTGTCTTGGTTGTCCTGGCACTTAATTTAAAGCATGTGGTTTCTGAAGTGCTGTAAGCAGTGTAACTCATAAGTCAGAATATGTTTCATGTATGGAAAAAAGCATTCTTCATGTTGACCAGGAAGAAAAATTGCAGTTATCCAAGGAGAATTGTACTACTTTAGCTGTCTCATTTCTACTCCTGAATTTCACAGTTTGCGTGTACAGTAATGATGTCTTGTTTTTTGAAATTTTTAAGTTGGTGCATGTAGTCATGTAGCACTTTATATATTTTATGTTACTGATCTGTGCAAACCCAATGATTTTTACAAATGCCGGAGCCTGGTACACTTCACAAACGTAGGATGCTTTCCTTTTGAAAATCCCAAAGTGCCTTTAAAATCATCCTATCAAGGCTGATGTAGTGTGAATGAAGCCTGTCCTTTCCCTGTGAGTGGGTTTGGAATAAAACAGTAAGAAGTCGTTTGCAAAGCCAGATAAAGTTAAGTGACTACTGTGTGCTGTATTTATTACCTTGGACCATCAGATAGGCTGTGTCTGAGATGCTGGACTCTGATTCATGTGGTAAGGCTATACTGGGTACAGCAGCATTGTTGCAGGAGGAAGGCATCCAATGGTGAAAAGAAGGAAGCATTCAAGTAGGAGAGAAAGAAAACAAAAAGAACACAGGAATTCATTTTTCCAAGTTGGAAGTGTGGCTTTAGTATAAGCAAAGAGGAATTAGATAAGACAGAGTGGTCTTCTGGTCATTTTGCATCAAGCCTGCAACTCTTACTAGAACGACAATAATTTTTTAAAAATATAGCCCATCTTTAGGATTTGCTAATAATAATGCACATTTAGATGTGATTTCTCTTTTGCATTGACCTAAGCTCTCACAACTGCTTGTTAAACGATTAAATTACTTCGATTCTTATGAATGTGTCATTAGGGCATTGGTGGCTTAATGGCTGTCAAACTGCTAAGGAGTTTTTAACAATAATCTATGGCCAAGGAAATCAAGTGAGATGCCAAACAATCTCAGCTTCATGGTTGTGCATTTGCAGAAAGACCCGTGTGACACCAGACGCTACTCCTGAAAGGCAATTTTTCCACTTGCATATATGTTGAGGTTCAATGTAGAAGAAAAAATGGCAATGTTTTTGTGTTATAAACACAAAGAAAAATGATTGAATTCTTTTCTCTAGGCTAGTGATTGCCTTAAATACTTTCTGTGATACAAAATGGTGTGAGAATGCACTGTATTCCCAAGTTCTGTGTTGTTGGTTTTTTTTTCCTTTAAAAAGTGTGCTGCAGTGTAAAAAATACACCAGTGTTCTTTCTGGAGCATATTCTTCAGCAGATAAATTCTTTTTTTTTTTTTTTTTTTTTTAAACCAGCCAACTTTTTTTTGTATGGAATCTCCATTTAAAAATATGAGCTGACAAGTTCTCTTCTCTTATAGGACCTGCTCCAGATGTAGTTTCAGATAAGATTTATCAAATCAGCAAAACCTTGGAAGAATATGCCATTTGTCCTGATCTCAGAGTTGATTTGTCTCGCTTAGGAAGACAAGAGTTTGATCTGGAGAACAAATTCAAACCTTTCCGAGGTATAAATGAAGGCTTTTATGCATGCTACTTACACGTGTTGATTCTAGTAGTAGATAGTAGAACTGCCACAGAATGATAAACAGTAGTTATTTAATCACATCATCATTTTTTCAGAATTCCTTACTGCTACTAGATCTCAAAATGCTCGATGGTAAGGGTGTTGTATTTTGCATACAGGAAAACACGAAAAATATCAGGTAGCATAAAAATAGACTAAAAACAATCCCTTTTTTGTTGTTGTTGTTGTTTTCTGATTTGAGGAAGAATTATTTCCCAGTCATCTCTGGAAAGATGCTATATTCTGGGACAATATAGCTGCCAGGGGACACTAGGGAAGTATTGCAATTGATCAAAAGGTGCAACTGAAAATAAGTTAATTGGATTTGGGAGGAGCTAGAATAATTTTTAGACTTCAGTTTTACGTGCATGTTATCTTAGCATATATGAACAGTTCTGTGGATGTTGTGGCATTTGTTCGTGTGTGTGAAAATTGGAGCCTTAAACTTTAACAATAATGTAAACTTTATTGTGATCAGGGCTGACAAGTTATGCTGAAATATTTTAGCAAATCTTTGAGAATTTTGCCATGTGCCACGTAATTGACTCATCTTCCAGTGGGTTTTACTTTTCGAACATGGGAACTATTTTTTGTTGTTGTTTCTAGTTCAAGTATATTTTATTTTAAGCTTTTTTCTTAGGTACTGTGTTTACATTTTACCCTGAAAAAGAGCATGGGGGTGAGGTCAGCATTTCTGAGGACAATAGTTTAACTTGTGAAACTAAAATATTTCAGGATATTCGTTACACCAGATAGAAAGGTGTTTGTGTAACATTCTTCTGAATTTAATCAGAAAAATAACTTCAAGTTGACTGAAAAGCATGGCTTTACCATGGTAGCTGGTTTGATTCCAACAAATTTACTTTCAGTAATTAATTTTAGTTTGACCTGTTTAGTATCTTGAAGAAGCTTTCTCCCTTTGTGGCATCACAATTCATATTAATAGGACTGTAACAAAAAAAGCCAAACAGATGTATTTGAGCCAAACTTTCTGAAGTCAGTAATGTATAAAATGCAAAAAATATGGTGTTAGAATGACAGTAAACTAGAGGCAGATCGTAAGTGCCAAAAATGAAAAGGATAGGCTGTGTGTCTCTCCTGATGAAGTGATGCAAATAGATACTGCTTTCAGATAATAGAAATTGTGAATTTTTATCAACATGGACATCTTCCATTCTCTGCAGTGCTGTAGCAAGCAAAACTGATGATGCATGCAAGGCTTAAGGTTGATGAAAGAGCTTTTTACTTTGCCTCTTTGGCATAGCACCAATCCACGTTACACAGAGATTGTGTGGTCTTATTTTAATTCAGGTACATGGTTGTGAAAGTGTGCTGGGAGACATATGTCCCCATATGTAAACTATATTTCTGTTTTGTTATGTTGTTGATTGTTTTTTGCATTAATTTTTTTTTCTAGTGGAAATTGTTGATTCTGTGGATATCTACCTCAATCTCCTTCGAAATATCTTTGACTTCAACGCAATCAGAAATTTACTGACTGGACCCAACCAGATCAAAATAAGGATTGATGCCATGAACGGAGGTATGAACTTAAGATATTATCAGGACCAAAATATGAGTTAGCTATAATAGTTTTATAATAAAGATAAATACATATACAGTGTATAAATGTCAGGATTTTTAGAAATGCTGAAAGGCTTGCACATCAGACTATTAATAAAGGCCTAACCCACTACTAGTCCTTTCTTGATAAGGAATTGAGGACATCTGTATGCAATAAAAATTTTCTTTCTGCGTTTGAAAGCAAGCAGGATGAGCTGATCTTTCCATGAGTGGATGATACGTTGCAGTGTGTCATAACCAAGGAGGTTAGAGGACAGTCTCTGCTAAGGAAAAATGGCTTCCATTTGTATGCTGGGCTGCATCGAAAGTGGGATGACCAGCAGAGCAGGAGGGTGATTGTCCCCCTCTGCTCTCTCCTTGTGAGGCCTCACCTGGTTTGCTTCTTCCAGTCCAGGGGCCTCCAGAGGAGAGCCATAAAGATACACAGAGATCTGGAGCACTTATCTTATAAAGAAAGGCTCATTTTACTTGGCCTAGAGAAGAAAAGGCTCCAGGGAGATCTTGCCGCAGCCTTCCAGTACTCAAAGGGAACTTAGATGCAGGAGGGAGACTGTCTTTTTGCACAGGCAGATAGTAATGAGTCAAGGGGGAATGGTTTTAAACAGAAGGAGAGGGTATTTAGGTTAGATGTTAGGAAGACATGCGTTACATGGAGAGTGGTGAGGCACTGGCACAGGCTACCCAAAGAAGCAGTGGATGCCCCATCTCTGCAGGTGCTCAAGGGCAGGTTGGATGAGTTCCTGGCAGCCTTATCTGGTGGGTGGTAGTCCTGCCTATGGCAAGGGGATAAAAACTTGATGATCTTTAAGGTCCCTTTCAACCCAAACCATTCCGTGATTCAATGAAAATTAGTTAAATCTGAATAAATTGCTACCAGGAATCCTCAGTGAGTTGGCCGAGCAATGAGGAATGGAATACCTTTCATCACATACGCTTCTGGAGGAAATGTTATTGAAATAATGTATAGATCTCTGATGTCCTCACCTATTACAAGATACTAAATAATCTCAGGGTAGGTCTCTTCTCAGTGGTGACAGGTGACAACACGAGAGGAAATAGCCCCAAGTTGCATCAAGTTTAGGTTGGATGTTAGGAAACAGTTCTTTACAGAAAGGGTGGTTAAACACTGGAATAGGCTCCCCAGAGAGGTGGTTGAATCACCATCCCTGGATGTGTTAAAGAGCCATTTGTTTGTGGTGCTCAGAGATATGATTTAGAAGAGGATTGTTAGAGTTAGGGTACTATGGTTAGGCTGCAGTTGGACTTGATGATCCCTGAGGTCTCTTCCAACATGAGTAATTCTATGATTCTATGATTATAAAAAATGCTACTCAGCCACCCCAGTGCACAAGCATAGATTTCAGATACAACTAACATTACAGTTTTCTCCATATGATCAAAATATTTGATTGTGAAGTTGGAAAATCTTTGGTACAGTTTGATAATGACATCATTTCCAGATGCATGTATGTTTAGGATCCTCTTATTTCTGAAATGATAGAAAATACTCCTTACAATTATTGAAAATGGAGATGAATTGGTTAAAGGATGGAAATGCACGTGCATTTGTTCAGCAGATAAGGTTAGGATTGGTAAATCTTACCAGGAAATTAAGAGAAGTCCTGGAATGGTAAACTGGGTTGTAGGTGAAATAAAAAGCTTCAAAAGGTGAAATAAAAAGATTCAAAATGAATCTGTGTGATTTTTTTGGATACCCCACAATACTGTATATACTAATTATGATATGGTAACATGAAGCACGGTCTTATTCGGCCATATGATTAGAGAAAAAAAAAGTTATTTTGTAATCAGTTGTAGGAAAGTTTTTATTTATTATGTACGTGACAATAGGAAAAATGCAGCAAAATTTTCAGTAGGGAAACCTGTTTAATTTCAGTGTGAGAAATCTGAAAGAAGTGTATTCCCTATTTCCATTCTATTACTGCTTACTTTCTTTGCTAGTGCATTTGCTAAACTGTTGCTTGCAGTCTAGGACATGTAAAATATTATAATAGTATATTATTTTTATTCTAGTAAGGAGTACCCTGTGTTTGTACATTAATTACTTTCCCCTAATAGTTGCTAAATAAAATTTCTATCTTTCAATATTCAGTGGTTACTTCAGTGAAGAGATGTATTTTTAATGCCGACTTAGAAACTGATCTGTGTGGAGTGACCATATTCTCTTCTGAGGAATGATGATTTCCCTTTTGTTAACAGGACAGATGTATAGAATTGCTGGAAGTATGCTTTGTATCGAGTCTCTGAAGTACTGTGAAAAATTTGAATGTCAAGCATATGTTTTTGTGATTGCATGGCAGATTTATATTTTTGCAGTTATGGGACCTTACGTGAGAAGAATCCTCTGTGATGAATTAGGAGCCCCTGCAAATTCTGCTATAAACTGTATTCCTCTGGAGGACTTTGGTGGACAGCGTCCTGATCCCAATTTAACATATGCAACTGCCTTGCTGGAGGCTATGAGAGGTGGAGAGTATGGGTTTGGAGCTGCTTTTGATGCTGATGGAGTAAGTATTGTGATCGGTGTGGAAGTTTCACCTTAGTTATTGTTTTGTCTGCTGTCAGGTATTGACATGTAAGTATAATTTATTTGCTTTTCAGACAGTTCTTGAAGATGAATAACATTACTTTCAAGCATAGATGATATAGAATTTGTACCTGTAAATCAGTCACGTGCAATAATTTGTTCGTACGGATTGCAAGTTTGCAAGTTGAGCAGGATTTGAATCCAGAATTCTCTCCTCTCCTCTCCTCTCCTCTCCTCTCCTCTCCTCTCCTCTCCTCTCCTCTCCTCTCCTCTCCTCTCCTCTCCTCTCCTCTCCTCTCCTCTCCTCTCCTCTCCTCTCCTCTCCTCTCCTCTCCTCTCCTCTCCTCTCCTCTCCTCTCCTCTCCTCTCCTCTCCTCTCCTCTCCTCTCCTCTCCTCTCCTCCCCTCCCCTCCCCTCCCCTCCCCTCCCCTCCCCTCCCCTCCCCTCCCCTCCCCTCCCCTCCCCTCCCCTCCCCTCCCCTCCCCTCCCCTCCCCTCCCCTCCCCTCCCCTCCCCTCCCCTCCCCTCCCCTCCCCTCCCCTCCCCTCCCCTCCCCTCCTTTTTTGTCTGTATTTGTTTTCTTCTGGTGTAACGTTTCTCTGCGTGGGAAAGGACAGCATGTACAGATGGCATCAACTTGTCACTAAATAGTAACTAATAAGTAGTAACTAAGAAAGTGAGTTTTGGCTAACATAAATTGAGAGATTTTTAGCTGAATAAAACACTGAATTATAATCTCTGCTTGTTTTAGTTTTTGTGACATGTTATCAACATATCAGTAAAGTATTGCAAAAACAACTTGCTGTCTTGTGAAGATTTGACAATGATGAAAAGGTTCTGAAGAACAGAAGCTGTTTTCTGTGGTCTCGAAACACAGAATACCCTCCTACTCACAGCACAGTGCGTGCAATTGGCAGAAAGATTCTCCTACACAGGCATTCCCTGGCAGGAGCAGACCTACTGAAGTACAGTGTAGGAGGCTCAGGCTAGGGTCTGTTAGGAGCTTTTGTTTACTGGAGGGAGTGAGGGTATGATAGCAAGGTTATAAATCCGTCAGGACAATGCCAGTAAATTTACTCTGCCTGAAGAGGGATACATGTAATACAAAGCCTATTTAAAAAAAAAACAAAAAACAAAAAAACCCACAAAAGAACTCTTTCTACTGTTCATCTGAAAGAAAAAACCAAAACACAGGATTTGAGGCATTTGAGGTTTCTGTATTTCTTGTCTTTTCCAGGACCGCTATATGATCCTTGGCCAAAATGGTTTCTTTGTTAATGCGTCTGATTCACTGGCAATTATTGCTGCCAATCTGTCTTGCATTCCATACTTCTGTCAGATGGGTGTCCGAGGATTTGGTAGAAGCATGCCCACCAGTACAGCCCTGGACAAGTAAGATGGAACATCTTTATCATGTTGGTCATTATATTATCTCCATGCTTTGTATTGTAAAGCAGTTGCAAAATCGTTAAGTCATTTGATGATGTGCTTATGTGTTTCATTGCTTTAATTTGTTTTAAGGATGCTTTGATCTTAGCGAGATGAATGTTACTAACCTTTACTTGGATTAAAATAGTTTAATTCACCCTGAGAAGGAATAAATAGGTCAGATCTTTCTGATATTATGAAAAGTAAGGGGTAATTCCTTTTCCAAATAATTTCTTTCTTTTTCTGATTAAATAATAGTCTCATCTGGCAGCCTTCCCTCTTCAAACCATGGAATTTTGAAACAGTTAAAATGCAAGTGCTTTACTAAGCAAGCACTAACAAAAAAAGACCTCCACAAAACTGGTTGTTTTAATCAGGTTAATTATGTATTTTATTATGATATAAAATGTCCTGGAAGGGGTATTTAGTAGTCCTGAAATCCATTTCCAGTTCCAGGACATGAATTCTTGAAAGTGTACTTCAGCTGTCTGTGACAAGGCTAATTTGTTTCTAAAAAATTTGTTGAAAAAGTATATCCTATGTCAGCAGCTGGATTTTGCAGAAATTTCATCCAGGCCTAAATTTTCTGTAAACTCCTCGTAAGAGGATTAAGCTAAATGTTATTGCCTTAGATTCTCTATGTGGAAGGAGTGATCACAGAGCTAATTGCGTGTCAGTGTTAGTCTGGCTGCATAGCTTCACTAGTACAAGAGTGATTGGTTGTGCTGCTAAATGTGTCTAATCGAGAAACGTAAGCAGTAATTTTAAAATGAAATGTAGGTTTTATGAAAAGGTTGATTACACTCATTGAGAAGCAAGAATATCAGGGTGCATCTCTATTTGGGAGGTTTCAGGAATTTACTACTTCACTCAGCTAGCAGTTTCATTTAATGATTGACAGAACCTTTAGAAAAATATTCCTTACTTGTGGGTGAATAGTCTGTTTTAAGAAAATGCAGTTAGATTGCAGGTTTTTTATTTTTATTTTATGCTGTCTGTTTAGTGATCCAAATATCTCACTGTTGAAGTGAAAGCTACTGTTACATTGAGATAGTTAATTTAAAATAATAGATAGATAATTTAAAATAAATAGCAGTTAGTTTTGGAAGTACAGCCTGGGATCTATGCATTCCTGTAATACTCGAAGACACAGTGGGCTTTAAATATGTTTGTTTTTCTACTTTTCTTAAAGCTGGGTAAATATGCCAGGAAGTGTGAATGTGCTGAAATCCCCAGAATGACCAAGTGGCTACTTGACTGATGTCTTTGACAGTATTTATTTGATCTTCTGGTGCACAAGTTGTTTTAGGGTGATTACTGCCTAAATCAGTTCTGTGGAGCTAAGTCTGATTATTCAATAAAACTCAGTAAATGATGGAAGAATATAAATATTTTCCTTGTCGTCTGTCAAATAATTATTATGAAATTTGCTGCTTTGCTCCAGGACATTTTTTTTATATATTTTTTTTCTTTCTTTCTAGATTGTTGTTGTTTTCCTGAATATTTAAAAGTAAATCTTTTCAAAGGGATCAGTTTTCTTTTGGGACTCTTATTTAGACACTTGAAAATTCAAAATACCTGACTTCTAAAGTTTTTGTAACAGCGCAGTAATGATGTCCAGATATTCTGATGCTGTGGTGGCAGAATTCTCTTACTTGCTTCACTTACATGTGCTAGTGCTGAACTCAGACCTCAGAGAGCCCAGCTTAGACTTGAAGACACATGTGGTTTTCATTTTAGGGAAGTAGCTTTTCTGTATATGCACAGGATACATGCCTTGGCACACAGTAAACAGTCATAAACACCTTCCTCAAAGGTTGGGTGGAGGAATTAGTGAGCCATCATGTCTTCCAGGATTACCAGTAAAGCCCACTTTTTGGCAGTGATTAATTTCCAGGAAAGACAGTATGTAAGAGGTATTTTTCAAAAAAGTTGTAGAATATCATAGTCTGAAATGTAGTATATTGCTGACGGAGTTTCGTGTTGAACTAGAATCTGATTTCTTATGCCCATATACATAAGGGAGAGTTGTCCTGGTGCAGAGAAATACTATCGTTGGATAGTGAGCATTGAAGACTACGCTTAAAGCATTCATACTTCTATTCCCATGAACTAACTAGCCAACTTGCAAGAAAAAAAAATAATCCATTTTGAAGGATAAGAATATTTGTAATGTGATTTTGACAAAAAGAAAAAAGGCAAGATTGAGCAATTCTGTGTAGAAATAGCACACTAGTTTAATGTTTAGTATTAAAATTCTGAGACTTTAAGTGTCTCCAGTGGAAAGGGAAATCCTGTTCTTCAAGAATGTGATGTCTGATAGCAGAAGGCATGTTGTCTAGAGTGACAGCACCGTTCCTGTTTGCTGCTGTATCTCTCACCTCCACTCTAATTAAGTCAGTGAGGAAAATGTCTGTTCTGAGTAGAATGTTGAGAACAGAAAAGATAATGCTGCTAGATGCAATTCTGCAATAGGTTTCAGTTTACTGCTCACTAGTGTATGCTTTTAATCTATGATCTTTTTTGTTTCTTGATCCCTTTTTTTCATTTCTGATCCCTTTTTTTCATTTCGTTCTGTACTCTAGAACTGTCAAAGAAGTTCATTGTGTATCTACCCATAATGCTCATTCTTCAAGCTCATACACTGGAAATAAAATACTAAAAATTAAATACTAAAATTAAATACTAAAAATTAAAAATATACTGTGAATATTAACTCTGACATAAGAGAAGGAAGCAATCTTGCAGTAGTTGAAATTAGAAAGGATGTCTGGACATCATTTAGCTTAACAACTGTTCAGAGCATTCTCTCAACCAGAGAATGCTGCTAAGGGCCACATCCGCTTGGGCTTGAAGTGTCCTTAAGAATGGAAATTCCAGAGAGATTTTGATTAGACCTGTTCCACTGTTTGGCCACTCTCACAATAAACAAAGTTTTTTTAAATTATTTTTTTATTTTTAATTATCTTGAAGTAGAATTTTCTGTTTTTCAGTTTGTGCCCATTGGTTCTTGTCGTGTCACTAGGGACCACTAAAAGAGTCTGGCTCCATCTTTATTTATTCCTTCCTCCAATCAGATTTTTATGTGCACTGCTAATATGCTCTCCTCAACCTTCTTTCCTCTAGGTTTAACAGCCCCTTCTCCCTCATCCTCTCCCAGTATGACATAGGCTCCAGTCTCTTAGTCATTTAAGTAGCTTTTTAGTAGAACTGCTCCAGTAAGTCCATGTATATCTTATCGCAGAGAGCCCAGCACTGGGCAAAGGATCCCAGATCCCACCTCACCAGTATTGCACAGTGAGGAAGGCTCACCTCCCTTGACCTGCTAGCACTGCTTTTCCTAATGCTGACCAGGATGTTGTTGGCTTTCTTTGCCTCAAAGCTTTTTGCTGGCTTATGGTCAAGTTATCATCTACCAGGACCCTAGATCGTCTTCGTAGAGTTACTTTCCAGCTTTTTGACTCCAGTTTATATATGGGGTGCCTGGGATTATTCTTGCTGCATGCAGGGTTTGGCATTGCTCCTTGTTGACTTTGATGAGATTTACTGTTGGCCAATTTCTCCAATCTTTTAAGGTCTCTGATTGGCTGCAAAACTACCTAGTTTATCAGCTACTCTTTCTTACGTTATATTACCTCCAAACTGCTGAGAATATGCTCTATCCAATCCTCCTGGTCATTAATAACAACATTCCGTTGCTGGCTGTGGTGTACACCCTTGTGGGACACTTGTAGTAGACTGTCTTCTACAGGAATTTGTGCTGTTGATGGCAACAATTTGAGCTTTGAAATTCAGCTGATTTTCAATCCTCTCATGTATTTTTCATCATTATATCTATGAGGTTATTATGGGAGAGTTGAAAGCCTTGTTAAAGTCAGTGCAGACAGCATCCACTTTTCTCTCCTTGTCTACCCAGCTAGTCACCTCATTGTAGAAGGCTAACAGGTTGGCTGTGCAGGATTTCCTTTTCATAAATCCATGTTGATTACTTGCAGTTGGGCTCTTGTACTTAGTAGGTCTGGAATCTGATATGAGGACAGGCTGAGGGAGTTGGGCTTGTTCAGCCTGGAGAAGAGAAGGCTGCAGGGTGACCTCATTGCAGCCTGTCAATACCTGAAGGGAACCTACACCCAGGAGGGGAGTAAACTCTTCAAAAGGGCTGACAACAGCAGGACTAGGGGAAATGGATCCAAGTTGAAGGAGGGAAGATTTAGGTTGGATGTTAGGGGGAAGTTCTTTACAAGGAGAGTGGTTAGGCCCTGGAACGGGCTGCCCAGGGAGGTTGTGGATGCCCCGTCCTTGGACGTGTTCAAGGCCAGGTTGGACGGGGTCCTGGGCAACCTGATCTGAATGTGTACGTTTGGTGGCCCTGCTAGGCAGGGGGGTTGGAACTACATGATCCTTGAGGTCCCTTCCAACCCGGGTGATTCTGTGATTCTGTGATTTCCTGACAAGGCACTCCACCACCTCACCTTAGGGAATAAGGTGTGGTTGACAGGTCTGTAGTGCTCTAGATCTTGCCCCTCTTGAAGGCAGTATTGGTACTTGCTTGCTGTCTTCAGAAGGCTCTTTCAGTTTGCCTTTTGAATATAACAGAGTGGCCTGGCAATTACTTCGGCCAAATCCTTTAGGTCCTGAGGTCTTACGGACTTACTGTGTCTTGCTTGTATAAATGTTCCCTGTTCTGTTCATGCTTTATCAAAGTTTTCCTTGCTAGAGAATTTTTGAATCCTTCATCTCATACCTGTGCTTAGGAAAAAGCATGTAATATTGTGCATAGAAAGCAAGAATTGTTAAGGTGGGTGAAATGTCTAACTGTTAAGGCTTATATGTATTGATTAAAAGTCTACTGCACTGTTGAATATTGGTGTTCCTTATTTTTAGTGCTTTGATGTTCTAACAGTGGAAAATGAGAAATATATTAAAATAAACATGACTGAAAGGGAAAATGGCAACATTTGTAA